CGACGGACGACGGGTGACGGGCGACGGCAGATATGGAATTCCATACCCAACAGCCAGTATCAATGACTCTGGGATATCAGAGAGTGCCACAGGCCTGCCAGACGAGATATATGACAGGCCCTGGCTACCTGTGGCAAGCCTTGGCGTCAGCCGAGTAAAATATGCCCATGGGGCCATGTGCTGGAATTGTTAATACACATTACCATGGGACTTGGCCAGTGGCCGACTCGAATATTTTGTTTTCTGGGTAAGGGGAATCCCGACATTTAAGGTGAATACACTAGGCTAGTCAGCATGAACAGAGATAGGATAGGCAAAAACAGGAGTTTATTGCATTTGGCCGTAAATATTTTTTAACTAAGAAATTAGCAAAAACGACTAGGGAGTACAGACTGTTCGGTCGACCCAAGGTTTAAACGTACATGTAGTTGGTTAAGTCCAGTCAAGCAAAACTTTGTTACTACGAATGCCTTTTTGAATATTTACTTTAAATTAAACTATAACTTTGATTAACGAGATAACTTTGCTTACACTCTCCCTCCCTCTTTGGTGTCCGCGCCTGAATGACCACTGATTTGTTGAACTGTTGAGAAAACAACCGAAAAAGTACAAATAAAAGAAAACGAAACGAAAGAGGTAGGCTTAGGCCTACATGTTACGAATTAACGGGCCATCATGTTTTTATTTGCTAAATTACAAACGCACAAAACCTGAAGAGCAAAGATGTTTGGAAAATTTTCCTTTTTTGCCCAACATGGGTTTTCAAAAATTATTTAAGTCTTAATTGGTACTTTCTGTTCCCAAAATAAAATAACGTAAAGCGACCTGCAAGGCGCACGATGTGCGGATACACTGGTTACTACCGCTAAAAGTAGCCAGAACTGCGTGAAGCCTGTGGCAGGGGGCCTGTGACGCCCGCGACAAGAATACGTTTCGAAATCCGACAACTCGAAAACATTAAACCATTAAAAAAAAGTTCAGAATTATTCAGCGTTCTCCCACAGAATGAATTCTTCATAATGTACAGGAAATTTTCATTTGCTTGTGTTGTTTTCTAGGTCTCGAGTGAAGCTTGATCATTTTGTTGGACCGTCACCAGGCTCTAGACCTAGAGCAATGACTGGTTGATGTGGCCCCAATACCGCTAATGCACTGCAAGCGCTGCGCTTTACAAAAAAAATCGCACGTCAAAACCTTGGAGAGTTGTAATAAGAAATATTTTCAACTTCGTATGGAAAAAGAATTGCTTCAACCTATATTGTTTGAAGAAAATTTAATTGTAGCTTAATCTGTTGGAAAACAGCCGGGGTATAAGAACTCCATACGCGGAACTTCAGAAGAGTTTTATAGTAGGGGGCGCTGAAACGAGAAATTAATGCAGTCGTGTGCGATCGCAGCGCGACATTTAACATGGCATAAATGTCATAACATGATTTGTAGCACTGCATGAATAAAAAAGTGTCTTTTGAACCGGAAAAAATGAAAAAAAAACTAAACTTTTAAAGGAAACTAAAATACATCAAAATATTGAAACTCACAGTTATTTTAATAACTGGAGAGCACAGTGTTGATAAATGTACGATTTATAACCTGTAAATCCTCAATACGTAATACGTACGCGGATGCTGTCGGGATTGCCTTAGTATGTCGCTAGTATTGACCAAAGATGACTTCACCATGAATACGCGTAAAACGTTGTTGTCACATGGGCGCCATTCTGGTTGGACTACGACTGCGCAGTGCATGTTAATGCCAAGGTGCAGGTGCCGCGACCGGCACGCACACGCATGAACTTTCACACTCGAATGGCGCCCATGGTAATAACACCTTTATGGCCGAATTACCCATCTTGCGCCGCTATGCGGCGCTATATAATCTTTGGTATTGACTGCCACCTTGGTTGTACAGACATAATATGAGTGGGATTGTCCATCACGTGACCAGCTCACTGCGGATTGCGTTTACATTGTATGCCGAACAGACACGTTGGTAGCTTCGCTTGTTCGCAGGGAGCATGCACGAGGTCCATGGCGCCCACAGTCTGTAAGGTACTTGAGCAATGTCGTGAGTGCAGGCTAACATAGTCGGAAAGGTTTACGACATCGTCGTCGCTCGTTCGTTCAGGGACCAATAGACAGCTTTCATGAGCAATGCCAACATTCAGAAGACAAACACTGAGCCGTAAGTTGCTTTTAATAGACGCGTAACCACGAGAGAACACCAATAGAGGCTACGTGATTATCAACTCACCTGCAATGGCGCAGAGCAGCAGCAAAACGATGAATCGATTCATGATGATGGTGGTGATTGTAAGCTGTTGCACAAACGGTATTAACAACAAAGGTTGCACTAGAAGAAGCAGTACACGCTGAGCCTCAGTATGCCAAAATGTGCCAAGATCATGTCTTTATAAGCAATTTGGAGGCATTCAAAATTTACTGTGGTCGAAAATGATGTACCAGGAGAAATCCATCTTATCCATTTCAAGAAGATACATAAATGATGTCTTTGTCTAATTGCGTAGCTATATAATTAGGCAAAACTAATATTGCCTGGGCTTTAAGTATATTTGGTTCTGATAATATTACCCAGCGTCATAAACTTGAACTTCACGAACTCTATATCAAACAACAGGATAATTTTACACAGTTCCTATAATTTTTTTAAGGTTTTGTCTGACTTTATTTTCACTTATTTTCCGGCTTTCGATTACCGCTGTGCCGAAAAGCATTTGGGGCCTTAACCAATATTTGATTTTAACCGAGGCAAGTCATCGATCTTCTTCACTGACTCTGCGTTCACCAAAGCCAAACATATGTACCAGCAGAATAAAAATGTGAACCCCACTTGAAAAATGATCATCGAACATATCAATTCGTCTCTGAATTTGCTCAAACTAATTGCGTTTTAGTGAGGAAGTTGCGCACTTTTGCCAGTTCATTGTATTTGTATAATAGTTGACGACTGTAAAATATTGACGATGCATTATTACACGCTATACATAAGCAATGTACGTAGCTAGCACAGTGTTCGTACTACAAGGTGTCCCACCAGAGCATAATGATAAACGGAACTTAAAACAAGCGTTTATTTTGTCCCGAAATAATTGTTGGAAATTGTTGTTTGAGATATCAAATTTAACTTATGGTCCTTTTGAATTGTGCTAAACATTTCATTTGGAGCTCACGTTACATTGCAAAGATATTTTCAATTAAGTAACAGAAATCTGTTTGATGGAGGTTTATTTACTTAATTTTGCGTTTGTAAGAGGAAATTAGACTGTTAACTGGTTTATTCCACAATCCTCATCGTTTGGTAAAACTGAACACCCAACGATTACTAAAGTTCCGCTGCAGAGACAATCCCATTGTGTAAGTGTACCCCATTGTTTACAGAACTGTAAGTACTGCTTTCCGGCTAAAGTGACAAGTTGACAAAACCTAAATACAAAAAATGCACGCACTACTAAATGTACCATTAATGGAAACACGATGTTTAAATATGGTAGTAGATCATTAACATTCAGTACGTCTAAAATTAAAAAAAAGTGGCGAGTGGACGTCTTCAGGCTAGCCTTGGGTGCCAACAAAAACTAACTTTAACGCCCAGAAACACACGTGCACCGTAATACAATTTGAATGTGGAATTATACACGTTCTCTAGATGTTTTAGAGAGAAAAAAAAGAAAGTCTGGTCCGAGCCAATTTGGCTCCTCAGGCGGTGTTTATGTTCGGTTTCCTTGGCATGAAACGACTGAGAATATTTCTATCCCCCCCCCTGGATGGAATGCCAGTCCATAGCAGATTGCTTCCCCAGCTAATGCTGGTACCCGTTTATACTCCTGGGTGGAGAGAGGCAAGCAGGGGTGAAGTGGCTTGCCAAGGGCCACAACATACTGCCAGCAGCTGGATTCGAATCTCCAACCTTATGATTGGAAGTCACAAACCCTAACCACTTGGCCACATGCCCCCTAAATGTTTTAGAGAAGGTGCCATTTAATAACAAACCTAACTGAACATGTGATTGTGATATCCTGGCTCCCAACATCGATATTTAGAGCTACAGTGCACAAATACACAATTTTAGTGAGCTCTACACAAGACAAATAGTATAACATCAGGGCGTTAAAACATGTTCAAAAAGTACCCAGTTTCGTGTTGATTATGCTGTCATCGAATGAGCAGATGTTGTCACCTTCTCTGCCGCAAAGATAACGAAATCTAAGTTCGTGAGGGCCAGATTTTGAAGAACTAAAATCCTCTCCTGTGGACCAGCAAAGCGTTTGTATTATGGTTGCGCGTATAACTTTCCCTGTGTTCAAGCTCGACTATGTTCAATACAGTCCTCATATTAATTATTTCATTTGTCCTTTCCTTCCAAATACGTCTAAGGCAAACCTAATTTAGCTTAACCCGTATAAAAGGGAACCGGCGATGGCGCACCCAGGATTTGTCATGGAGGGGGTGCTAGCTCGGACTGGACCCCTCCAAAAGCTTATTATATGCTCCAATGCCCCCCACCATACCGGAGTGGGATTTACAACTGTATCAGAGCTAGTGGTTTAAGATGTTGACTTTACAACCAAAATAGCTACTAATATGAAGTAGTCGCAAGAGTGATTGGCATTAAAGTGCGACACCAATTGTTTATAAAGTTAATGGTAGACAAAAACATGGTCGACTGGCCACGATTTGCATTTCAGCAAATACAACTAAACAATTCCTGGACATGTTCGACCGATCAGGCCATTCCTTGCTTCACAAAGCCGACCTCTTGATTAATTGGCACCGATAATAAAAACACTTCAGAATCCTCTGCCCAGACGAGCAAACATCGGGAGCAAATCAAATTCCCCGCGCTCAGCGCAGCTGGCGAATGAAACTTTGTCAATCACAACGCACTGCGAAGAAGGCCTGTCGGTGGCGCACTGCATTGTGAATCGCCCGTGTTATTAATGGGTACAGACCAGTTAATAAGTTCAAAAATAATAACTTCAAAACATCAGGAAAAATACTTACAGGTTTCACAGGTGTTCAAGACATATACCAAGATAAAGTTCATTTCCTTATCTTTAATTTTCCTTTCAATTTTCAGTGGGTTAAACCATGACTTTGGAAAATATTTATCTCCAGCGAAAATCACCCCTCGAGACAGTTTTGAGGCCAATCGGCATTTTGAAAATTGATGCCTAATCTCCATTGCAAACTCCAGAAAGTAAGAGGGTCCCGTTTGGTCTGATACTTTCAGAAATACAAGCTGGCAGTCCTGTCCGTGGAATTTATCCAATTTTTCAACAAACCACCCAGTGCACATGCTACAAAACGTTCTAAATAGCAGGGATTATGACAGCCTACAAAGTGTAATTGTAAGTCGGTCCGTGCAGGCAATTTTGGACCTATTTACCGGCCTGCAATCTAATAGACCAGAGAGAATGGAACTATTAAGAATCCGCCAAATGGAGAAAGGGGACCCTATGAACAGGAAGAAACTTAAACAAATCAGGTTACAGCATGGTAAGCAAATATAATGTTGCTTAAAATGTCCCATCTTGAAAGAGTTTCGCACCTTAGAATTGGTGTAGTGGAAGACACATCCAAGGGGTGCAACCTAGTCAAGCGCCCCGCCGAGCGTATAGTGCAGGTCCTACAGGTATTTGGAGTTCCGAGTATGACGAGCTCACGAATCTATGCACAGATCAAACCCCAGTCATAGGGCATTTGGAACACCAGCAGTTTTACAAAGCATTGCCTCACCATAAAATAAGTAATCCCGATCAAGGCTTTTGACTAGTGCTAAATTCAGATCATCATACTGGTACTTCACGCAAGCTTTGATCGCATGGGAAAAATCAATATTCATGATTAAAGGCTTTTTGATAGCAAATCGATTTGAAGCGTCTCCGTGGAAATTAAACATAGCATGTAAAATTTTGAAGACTGGTAAAAGCCAAGATTTGAATCTTGTAAACTACCCTAATTTTAGTTCGACAGAACCCAATGAATTTGAGGAGTTTAATTATCACGAGTGCTAAAAAGTAATTTAGACCCTTCAGCCACTCAACAAAATGCTTTAAGTACCCCTATGCTAATCTGACAAAAACGTTCAATGAAATTTGTGGATTTTATTTAGAAAAGTGTCATATGGTGGTGAAAAGTGTCATATCCCCAGTTACCCCCATGGACATAACATTCGGCAGTCATTTACACTCTCACGCAAAATGAGACACCAGATACAAGATATTCTATTTTACGGAGACCTTTTTATAAGTTTATTATTGTTAAAAAAATATTGAAATTTTTGTTCTGCTGCACGATATGAATTATGCCCGGGACTTTTGGGGGTTTTGGAACTCAATTTCTGCAATTTAAACTGAACGTTAATTTTACAGGAATTCCTTCTGTCACTGCAGCGTCAACTGGTTATGTTTTGGCCAGACAGGAACTCTCGAACTGTTTCATCGCAGAGTAGCCTAGGTGGCACCAGCCTGGCACACTCTCTAGTACACTGGTCTCGAGTTGACCCTCGTCTTGAGTTGTTTCTCGAGTTTCTGGCCAGCCTTTGAATCGGACGGCTAGTCCCATACCCGCAGTAGAACCCTATGTAAATGAAATGCAAACCTTTTGTAAACACCCATCGAGTACAAATATTCGACAACGTCGAAGAGTGTAATTATACAGGATATTATTATAACGTAGTTCCAACCACTATCTCAAGTATTTACAAAATAGTGACCACTCCGTACCTTGACACAAATAATATTTAAAGTCGTCAATACACCCATAAATCCAAGTTCTCTAATACATTTTCGTTACTCAAGTAATCACTTATCTTAAGGTAAATAACCACAACATTTACTCTATTTCCAAAATAAACTTACAGGTTATGTAGACACCTGGCTGTTGGGAAATCTTGCGTCTCATATATTTTTTATTTCGCCTTGCGTATCGATCGGGGTTTATTTTCACCGATATAGCCTACTAGTTTCTCTTTATAAAATCCTTCAGCGCCACTGGCTGGATACTGGCAGTTTCAGTCTCAATTTCAGCGAAATCATCGAGGCTGGCAAGACGTGCCCTCTCCTCAGACTGTCCGACGCAAGTCCCCTTTTATACACCCCGAAAATTTTCTTAAGCCCGCCCAAATTTCTACTTACAACACCCTCGGCCACAGTTTTAATGGTGGTAGGCAGAGCCATAATGAACGAACTAGATTTTACGGGACCCAATTTTTTGCTGACCAGCCTGTAGCAGCAACGCGTTGACGAATAACGAAAGAGACACGATCTGGCCTTGGAGCACTTGGCTCAAGCCAAACAAGCTTGAGAGCAACAACGAGTCAAGTACCTGGATTACCTCAACGAGCGCATGAAGCAAGAACGCGTGAACCATCGCAT